TCACATCGTCCAGGGACAGCTGTGACACAACGTCCAGGGACTGCTGTGGCACATCGTCCAGGGACTGCTGTGGCACATCGTCTAGGGACGGCTGTGACACAACGTCCAAGGACGGCTGTGACACATCGTCCAAAGACGGCTGTGTCACATCGTCCAAGGACGGCTGTGACACATCGTCCAGGAACGGCTGTTGCGCATCGTCCAGGGACGGCTGTGGCACATCGTCCAGGGACAGCTGTGACACAACGTCCAGGGACTGCTGTGGCACATCGTCCAGGGATTGCTGTGGCACATCGTCTAGGGACGGCTGTGACACAACGTCCAAGGACGGCTGTGACACATCGTCCAAAGACGGCTGTGTCACATCGTCCAAGGACGGCTGTGACACATCGTCCAGGGACAACTGTGACACGACGTCCAGGGACTGCTGTGACACATCGTCCAGGGACGGCTGTGGCACATCGTCCAGGGACGGCTGTGGCACGTCGTCCAGGGACGGCTGTGACACATCGTCCAAAGACGGTTGTGTCACATCGTCCAAGGACGGCTGTGACACATCGTCCAGGAACGGCTGTGGCGCATCGTCCAGGGACAGCTGTGGCACATCGTCCAGGGACAGCTGTGACACAACGTCCAGGGACAGCTGTGACACATCGTCCAGGGACAGCTGTGACACATCTTCCAGGGACGGCTGTGGCACGTCGTCCAGGGACGGCTGTGACACATCCTCTACTCCCAACTTTGACGTCTTCAGGTACGATTTTGACCTTCCTGACATAATGTAACGAGCCCCACACACCACTATCACTGCAACAGCAGCAATTACAGCCTTAGTCACTCGAGCCCTTTTTCCACAGTACCTCGTAGAAAGAGAAGCTTTACCTGCCTTGTCAGCGACGTCACTGCTGTCTGCGTCCTCTGGGGCGAGATCTGTTCCTTCCCCTGCCACCTCAAGTGGGCCCGAAGCTTTTGGCGACAAGTCGCCTGCAATGCGCTGCAGGATTTCCATTATCTAATACAAAACTGAATGGAGGCGCGCCTTTAAGCGGACCGGCATGTAAATATCTAATGAAACTGCGCAGAGCGGGCGCTCACAGCAACACAGAGGACAGGAGATGGTTCTGGTTGGCAGGATGATGGTGACGGTTGAGTGAATTTTTGTTGAGATGAATTAATGGGGAAAAACTAAAGTAAGAATACTTTTCGTGTACCCGTTGCACAGTGGCTACCAATCTCCAGGGTAGAATGCCTGTTGCAGGGCCAGGCACTACATTGGCGCCAGAGAACTGCGTTAGGAAGTGGAATGAAAGGACAAAAACGCATCCAAACAATAAATGCGATATATTAAATGGAGAAAATGAGTGTCTGGTGGTGGGTAGAGCCTGCGGGCTCAGCTGCGATTCTCATGTGGGAGTTGCATCGACCCTAGAACACAATGTGAACGCAGGCGGGCGCGGAGGAATCCCCAGTCTCTTTTTGTTACTTAACAGAACTCCACGCCATCTTAGAAACGGGCGTTAGGTATTTCGGTAATGCTTCTGAAGAACTTGGACGTGTTATTTAAGGCGTTATTTGAAATTCATTAAAGTTAGCCGGTCGCAGAGGCTTCGTTACTTGCGCCGGCTCTCGCCACCTACATGCTATCTACACAGTGGAGATCGGGCAATGCCCAGAGGGATATGCCGCAAATTGATTAGGCGGATCGGCTTGTAGTGCAAGTACACGAGTGAAGGCAGTTTCTTTAAGTTTCGGGGACCTACTAGCGTTTAGGTACCCTTTGAATTCCTTCACCAGTTGGTGCGGTATGTTTTTTTCCACAGTATTGTCCTAACATATCTAATGCTGCCGTCTGTTATCCGTCTCGCCTTCCTAGTACCAACAGAAAACTCTAACACCCACGGATGTCTCTACATTGAATAAAATCTTTGTACATTTAGTTTCTAACTACAAACTGCGCAGTAATCCAGCGTTCTACGCTGTTATTCATGCACCTGGATTCGCTGGATCATCCACAGTACAGTCCGGCGCAGCGCAAACAAATTCTCGCTGACAAGGGATATGCAGAAACCGGGGTGGGTTCGTCTTCCTCGAAAACAGCGTTTCATTCCCGTTCTGCAATCTGGCTGGTCATGAGGCCAAAAAGAAGTCTTGCCTCACTGACAGCTGGGTGCACCCTCCCTTTTGGGCGGACCTCCCACAAAAAAAACAAGTTAAATGCAGGACTGCGTTTAACTTTCTAGCTACAGCGGCAACTGTAACGAGGCCGGACACCACCGATGCGGACCCCTGCCGCACGAAGAGTAGTGTCACCTGGCAGAACGCACAAAAACAATCAGCTCATAGACTATAAAAGGAACAATGCAATCATCACCAGATCATCCTCTGGTATGCCTTGGCTTAGCAGCCGTAGCATAAGCTCCCTCTTACTCTTCAGCCTGGTTTGGGCATTGTTCGCATTTTCCTTCTCTTGTTGAACCGCAGCCGCCTCTACTTCTTCGTTCGTCCAATTATCTGCAATTTGGTTCAGCTTTCGTATATGTGCGTAGTTCGTAGTGGCATCGGACTCGCGGAATACATGCGCCGCTGCTTCTGCAAGAGCTCCAGTACGAAATGGCTTTCCAGTGTATGGAATCTGGTGTTCGGCAGGGGCATGAGCGGGGTTGTAGGCGCCGTCTCGTTCAAACGGTTGAAGAAATGCCATGAAATGATATCGGGCGTTCAAGTTGGCGTCGTTAAATCTCTTCTCAATCTCCAACAACCATCTGAGTTTCCTAGCTAAGGTTCCATTTACTCGTCTTTTACCACCCCGAGACAGCCCGAAGAATTCCAAGAACTCAGAAGCTGTCCAGTCGTCTCCTGTCACTTCTTGAAAGTTTCTAGGAGCATCACTGTTATTATAATCCTCGCCGCCGCCAGAAACAAGAAAAGGATTCGCCACGCCTAATTTCTGATTCACAGTGTTGAACAATTCCAAATCCTTGAGGCGAAGGGCCACTGTGCGGCAAATGCTGCGTAATAGCTGCAGGTGTTGCACGAAGTCCAGCCGTGCCTGCAGAGAAGAAGCAGGTGGAACTGTGCATTCTCGCATCTTGGCAACGTGATCTTTGATGACCGCCAGAGGGTCTCCCAGGAGACTTTGATCATCCTCAAGCGACGGTGTGAAGTGTAGTTGAAAATTTTGAAGCACTGCCGATGTTGACGAGAAAGCCGCTTGCATTTCCTCTGCTGCTTCATTGAAGTCGTCCATGTACTTCTGCATGCTCACATCGTCCAGTGGTAGCTGTGACGTATCGTCCAGTGACGGCTGTGACACATCGTCCA